GTCATACGACCAGAGGCTGAAATATCTCAAATTGTTTTCTCTTGAAAAAAGAAGAGTTAGTAGGGATCTGATTGAGGTGTTTAAGATTGTAAAGGGAATTGAGAGTGTTGATGTATCATCTCTTTTTATATATAACATTTAACAATGAGAATAGTAGGACTAGGAGACACAAATATAAATTTTAGCAAAGTAGGAGTCATCTTCAGCTAAGACAGTTTTATTTTTCTAACAGGGTAGTTGGCCTTTGTAATGGGTTGCCTTTAGATGTGGAAGAGGCAATAAATTTAAGTGAGTTTAAGAAAAAGCTTGATAAGTATATGAATGAAAAGGGTTGGGTTTAAAATGTTATTATTATTATCTAATTATTTTAATTTAGTTTTGAGGATGGAACAGCCGAGATGGACCAATAGATCTAATGTTGTCACAAAATACTATGTTATGCTATGTTAAATATAATTACTAACCCTAGGCACATACGTTGTTTAGGTTTCATGGACACTTCTCACTTTTTAGTTGAATGTTACTGTTGATGCTGGACACGTTCATTGTTGATGTGTTGTGAACATTAACCTTTTTTGATTCAAATATTTTATTGTTGATATGTTGTGAACACTATCCTTTTATTGTTTCAAATATTTCATTGATGAGATGTTGTGAAAATTATTCTTTTTGTGGTTCAAATATTTCATTGTTCATATGTTATGAACATTATCCTTTTTTGATTCAAATATTTCATTGTTGATATGTTGTGAACATTATCCTTTTTGAATTCGAATAATTCCTTGTTGATATGTTGTGAACATTATCCTTTTTGGATTCAAATAATTCATTTTTCATATGTTGTGAACAGTATCCTTTTTTTGGTTGAAACATTTCATTGTCGATATGTTGTGAACATTATAATTTTTTGGTTCAAACATTGCATTATTAATATGTCGTGAACATTATCCTTTTTTTTGGTTCAAACATTTCATTGTTAATATGTTGTGAATATTATCCTCATATTGTTTCAAATATTTCATTGTTGATATGTTGTGAACATTATCCTTATATTGTTTCAAATATTTCATTGTTGATATTTCGTGAACATTATAATTTTTTTCAAACATTTCATTATTAATATGTTGTGAACATTAACCTTTTTGGTTCAAACATTTCATTGTTAATATGTTGTGAACATTATCCTTTTTTGGATCAAATATTTCATTGTTAATATGTTGTGAACATTATCCTTATATTGTTTCAAATATTTCATTGTTGATATGTTGTGAACATTATCCTTTTTGGTTCAAATATTTCATTGTTGATATGTTGTGAACATTATCCTTTTTTTTGGTTCAAATATTTCATTGTTGATATGTTGTGAACATTATCCTTATATTGTTTCAAATATTTCATTGTTGAGATGTTGTGAACATTATCCTTATATTGTTTCAAATATTTCATTGTTGAGATGTTGTGAAAATTATCCTTTTTGGGGTTCATATATTTCATTATTGATATGTTGTGAACATTATCCTTTTTTTGGTTCAAATATTTCATTGTTGATATGTTGTTAACATTATCCTTTTATTGTTTCAAATATTTCATTGATGAGATGTTGTGAACATTAACCTTTTGTGGTTCAAATATTTCATTGTTGATATGTTGTTAACATTATCCTTTTATTGTTTCAAATATTTCATTGATGAGATGTTGTGAACATTATCCTTTTTGTGGTTCAAATATTTCATTGTTGATATTTCGTGAACATTATAATTTTTTTCAAATATTTCATTATTGATATGTTGTGAACATTATCCTTTTTGTGGTAAAATATTTCATTGTTGATACGTTGGTAACATTATCTTGTTATCGGTTCAAATATCTTGTTGTTGATATGGTGTGAACATTATCCTTTTTTTGGTTCAAATATTTCATTGTTAATAAAAAAAATCAGCGTTTTCTTTGACGCAGACTTTTTGGTAGATGTATGTTCTAAAACAAATTCATTAAATAAATCTGGTTTCAAAATCAACATTTTTATCTATTTTTTCTCCAGTGTACTAAGATGGAAGAAATGTTGTTATTAGTTGATTTTTGGAGCCATTTTGCTTATAAACCTATACACTATATCAGTATTGTTGTGTTTTTAATTTCTTCGTTTTCAATAATAAAACTTAATACATTTTCATTTAAAATCGTGTAAATCCTTTCAGTTGAGAGTTGTACTTCAGAACGTACATTTCATTACAAGAAAGAAGTATCTCCACATAATCAACACACAAAACAAAACAACATATAACGCATGCGTGGAATTTCTGGTTCTCAGAACTAGTAATGCAAAGGTTACTGTAAAACTAGAAGGTTAAACAATGACCGAAAGATAACATCTAGCTGTTTTAATGTAACATTTTAATAAATGTTGCATGTACACGATTACCATTTCAAAGGCTCTCTTCAAGGTCTTACAAAAAATAAAAAATACACCGGAAATTCTTCTCAGAGACATTTAATTATGTTTTAACACGTGTGTCCATAAACTGATGTTTTGTAAAAGTTGAAATTTCAGTACCTTTCCTTAGTTTTAGCCTGAGGAATGTATTCTTGCCCCATGAAATTCGGCAAATTACGATAATTCCAAATAATGCTTGTGTTTATTTGTATTTAAGCACAAAGCTACACACACAAAGCTACCCGGTTTCTAGCGTTGTAAGTCCGCAGACATGCCGCTGTGCCACTGGGGGGGGGGGTGATATTGCTTGTTAACTATGAGGAAATATATATCACTGAAGTTACAAAATCTGTGAGTTTGCTACTATATTGGAAAAAAAACGCTAGGCATTAAACGAAAGTCGAAATGAATAGGCAAAAATTATATTTGGTGTTTGTTTGTGTGAGGTATTAGCTCTAATAGGCAAGATGGAAGGCATCTAATCGACAGCACCCGCCGCTAATTAAACAGTGTAATTTCACCGTCATCCTTATTGCGTACTCGCAGCCCTAAGTTGGGAATCATGATTTTGTGGCAACAAGACGCGAACCATCGGCCATCAGATTCATAATGCTGCAAGCTAACCACTAAGGTACGCCCGCCCCTATATAGGGTAGTTATAAAATATTCTTATTTTCAAGTAATGTGTATGGTGGAAGTTAAATATGTGGTGTACAGAAAAAAAGGAGTCGCGAAAGAGCAATCCACTAGTTAGTGAAAGGCGCTATTACAGCAACTGTTCAATATTGCCATCACCAGTTTCTAGTAGTGGATATAGCAACACATGACATCTCCCGAACTTTTGTAGTTTATGTGTTACGGTAGTAGACCCGCACCTTTAGAAATCCCCATAATCAGCAGCCAGCAGGGGTGAGGTCAGGGAAGCGAGTTGGCCAGGGACAATGGAGTGCTGAGGACCGGGATATAGTAAATGAGGGCTTCTTTTAATGATGATTCCTACGAGGATATTCATGGGTGGTTCTAAAACTCCATAAAAAGTATTGTTAAACATCTGCCTTACCTCTTGCTACAAAAGGGCATGCATTAAGTTGTTTGTTAAAGCTCTACGTATTACAAACACTATCCAAAGCCTGTTTTGTTTGTTTTTTCACTACTCCACTGACGTCTTAGGATGCATAAAGATAATTTCTAACCTGATATATATAGCAGTTCATTTTAAAATATTCTGTATTCGAATCTCATAATCGCGTGACTTGTGCATATATCAATTATATATATACATATCATTGATTTAGTTACACTATAAGTAGTTTGTCTCTCATACGAATGGTATTGAATTACAAGACAATCATTTATCTTGTAAAATTAACGTTGTCCGAAGATTAACAAGTTAATGTTTTGTTGGACTTCAAGAAATTACGTAATAAAAACACTTATAAATCTAGGTAATTGCATTCCTTGAAGTTTGTTTTTCCCTTGAGAGGGGGTTATTGTTTTTGATCTGTACTAAGAACTTTTTTATGCAAGTATATTAACAGAGTTATCTGTCTTTGGTGTCTGCCTATACTTTAACAACATGCAGTCTTTTTCCCGAATCTCATGATTTGCGGTGAAAGTTTTTAAACATTATCAAGTTAGTGAACAAGTGTGCCTCTGTCAAATTTTCATTTTATCGTTTTCAAGATCACCAGACGTTGGCTCCCTTAAATAAGTAATTAATATTCTTTAAATTGAGTGATTATTGAAGTCAGTTGTTGTTGTTTTTAACATCGTGGACTAATGTATCTTATTTAAAAAAACAAATTACCATATATTTGTTCTATTTTGATATTTGAACAAACCAAAGAAAGAAAGAAATATGATTTGTATTTCTGTTATCTAGGTTGAAATAGAGCGTTCACGAGTAATTTCACAATCTGCCTATACGCCTGTCTCAAATCCCCATAACGATAGTGAGATACTGCAGTCGTCTACTGTTATGAACAGAAGTCATCAAGCTCTCCACCAGGAGTCGCAATTTCACGCGCAGCTCACGCAGTCTGCTCACCATTCTTTATTAGGGCCAGGAAGAAACATGGCCCACCCAGGAACATCTACCTCGACCAGAGCCTTCATAATTAACGGAGAAGCCCTTACTTCCCAACCGTCCAACAATTCACTATTCTCTAGCACCACCTACCGGGGAACTTCACAGTCATCATTCCATGGTACCACCACCTTTCCTCAACATTCCAGCATCAACCACCAGAGTTCATCATCCTCCACGATAACAAATGGTTTGTAATATACTTAACTACACGTTTTAATCATAACACAACTCAACACGCATGTTATTATATTCGATACTAGAGACAGATTACGGCAATCTCGAGAGAAACACGTGGCGAGTGTAGTCTTTCTCCACATCGAAACTTACATAAGATATGCACGTGAGGTTCGCGAACTAAGTATTTCGGAGTACAGAATTAATTACCACAGGCTTATTACAGTAAGACAGAGCGCCCTTCCCAGTTGCTCAGCAGTAAGTCTGAAGGATTATAGCGCTAAAAACTGGGTTTCGATACTCGAGGTGGGTACAACACAGCTAGTCTATTGTGTAGCTTTGAGCTTAACAACAACAACTACATGTAAAACAAAGTAATACAGTTATACGCTAGAACTTCCTTTAAAACAATATACACAAAAATGCTCCACTATTGTTTACTTTTACATTTTATTTATTTCTCTGTTCAGCGAAGGGGGGTTATTTTACTTCTCCCCTAGCGCAAATGTTAAAAAATATAGGAGAATGCGATTTACATATTCATACGAAATAATATTTCACGTAGTTTAATTTGAGTTTTCGCGAATAAACCTCCTCGCTGCAAAACACGAGGGTTATTTTGAATTTTACACCGAAGTAGATTGGCAGGCAGACATATAGATATATAATTTCTCAGTCTTAACATGCTTCGTGTCATACACGGATGGCTACATGGAATTCACATGTTACACTACTTGCCAAAATTAAGTGAAAATATTATACTTACTTCAACTCACCTAATTTAATTACTTTAAAAAAACTACAAACGTATGATGGGCATTTTCTTTATCTGGGCTCCACATGCCTGAATATTAGAAACGTTAAAAGCAACAGAAATGAAAAGTGTCTGCCTGCCTGAATAAGAAACGCATTTTATTCTTTTTGGTAAATGTTTTTGTTTGTTTGTTGTTAAGCACAAAGTTATACAATGAGCTACCTCTGTTGTTAAGCACAAAGCTATACAATGAGCTAACTCTGCTTTGCTCCCAGCAGATATCGAAGCTCGATTTTTAGCGTCATTATACCTCAGTCTTACCCCTGAGACACCGCGGGAGGGGGATGGTAAATGATAAACCTTCCTCTGGCGATATTAAACTTTTATAGCAGTTATCAAAGGAAGGGCGTTCCCCCCTGCCCGAAAGGTGAAGAACAATAAAAAAACATCAGTATTTAATTTCTGTAGTGTATACTGATGTATAAAAGACAATTTTATAATACTAGAAATAAACGACCATATAACACCAAATTTGTTATTTCCATTTTCTGAAGCTTTCTAATGTCAGTTACGATTTGTGTTTTAGTGGAACGCTCCTGAAGAAGCTGTAAACGAAACGTTGAGAGTCCAATTAAAGTAAAATAACAAATATGGTGTTATAAGGTTGTTTATTTCTAGTATATTAAAATAAAAATAAAAACATCTGTTTATCATATACCATTTGTTTGTGGTATAAGCCTCCCCCCGTTTTGATTTCAACTCCATTGTACCACACTTTTCATGACTTTTGTACACCCTTTTATTAGTGTTAAGTGAAACACGGTGAAA